TCGTTCACGGGGCCTGCTGGGTACAGCGCCTCCCGGGACTGAACTGGGCAGGACACCCGGCGGCTTGTGTCACTCGGGTTCCATTCCCCGGGGACGGGCCTGGGCGAGGAGCCGTTCAGCTCCAGCAAGCCTGTGAGCTCCTCAGACGGGTCAGCTGGGATGGTTCCAAGCTCTGTCCCAGATTCCCGGCTGGACTCTCGGCACGGCCCGGAGGCAGGGCCGCATTGTGACTTTCGTGGGCCCGAGGCACTTTTGCCTTCGTGAGCCCCTTCCTCCATTAAAAAAAAAAATTAAAAATTATTTTTGATCTTACTTTAAATACTTCCACATTTTATTTTTTTCCTGTTTTTGGCAAAATGTAATAGATTTTCATGGGCCCTAAAAGTTCATTTTTTTCTTCTGATTTTAAAAGAAATTAAAACATTTTCGTGGGCCCCTAAAAGTCTCGTGGGCCCTAGGCACTGTCCCAGGGACTCAGCAGTATTGAAGCCCCTGGAGGATGGTGCCTTGTCCTCACTGTGGGTCAGTCCCCCAGCTACTAATGGGGGAGGCGTGTCCCGAGAGAGCATGGAGACTCGTGTCTGAGGTGCTCAGAGTTCGGCAGGGAATGCTCCGGCTGGGGTGAAGCTGAGGCTTCTTTTCAGCTGTGGGAGCCACACGCCCCGAGCAGAAGACGTGAATGCGTTTGTTGTTCGTTCTTTTCGGCTGGCGTATGCAGCAACACGGACAGTCGAATTCAGCTGGTGGAGGGGCTGCTCCTCAGGCGTGAAGGGAGCCTGAATGCCACGGGAATTGTACAGACTCAGATTTTTGTAATGGGAATTTGGTGAAAAGTAAAATGGCCCCATTTTCTACTGGATTTGCCCCGGGGGAACACGGCTCCCCGAGGAATTCCCGCGCTCCGACATCTTCCTGATTGCATCCCAGGCGGAGATGGGTGGAGTGCGCCTCTCGGGCTGCAAAAACCGAACTCGGCAAAACTCCAAAACGTGTTGCTGTTTGGGCGACTGGGCCTCTTCCCAGCAGTTCCCACAGCTATTGGCAGCGCTGAGGCTGGCTTCTGGTTAAGAAGCAGCTGCTGTTGTGGGCCCTGGTGGCATTCTCCGCTTGGCCTGGGATACGCAGCAAGAATGTCTGGCCTCAGAGACAGTCCTTCATGGTGCGCCGTTGGTCCTCCAGAGGCAAGTCTGACGGCAGCAAGACCCAGCTGCCCACAGCCCGGGAGCAGGAGAGGGGTGTGATCGGAAGCAGAGAGCCGGGTCGGGAGGCAGATGGGCTGGAATTCTAACCTGGGCTCTGACCCTGTTTCACGGGGTAGCTTTGGCCTTTCAAGCAAGGTGGCCATGAACCACACGTAGCCGCCAACTGCTCAGGGGACCGTGAGAGCTGCTTCGGGAGGACTTTGAACTCAGGAAGTGGGCGGATTATCCCCCTGGCTAGCGGTGCAGCTCTGCCTTGCTGTCTCGGGTATCTGTCTCCTGGCAGAGCATCAGTCCGGGGCAGCGACGATATTTTGACTCCAGTTCTCTAGCAGAAAGGAGCTCGCTCGCCCACCAGTCCCAACAGCCTCGCCGCCTGTGTTTCTTTTCAGAGAGCGTCATTAAATCTTGCTCCTACAAGTCCTTCTGCGACCAGGCGAGGCCCCGGCGGGCGAGCGGGGCCACCGTGAAATGCTGCTTCAGCGACGACTGCAACGGGCCCCAGCGAAGCACCAGCGCTGGGACGCGGAACACGGGGGACGCGACCCCGTTTCACTATCCCATCTTCCTCCCGGTGGCAGTGGTTGGGAGGCTGCTGCTGAGTTCGCTGTGACGCGGTGGCGTTACGAAAGCTCGGCTCTTGCACCAGTAAAGGAAATGCGACACGCCGGGGGAGCTGTCAGACCCGCGTACCTGCGAGCTGCAGTGCTAGCTGTTGCTAAACCCTTTAGCAGCCCCGTTTGCCCTAATTTCTTCTGGCTCTAGCGCCAGGGGGTCTCTGTTTTCTGCTTAAATCACCAGACAGCCGCCAAATAAACTCAGCAGTGGAAAAGCGCCTTCGCAGACCCTGCCGTCCCTTCCACAGCGAAGTGGGAAGCCAGCCCCACACCAGGGCCTGGGCCTGCTCTTGAGCTGCTGAGTAACGAGGCTCTCAGCTGGGCCAGGCGTGTCGGAGTGCTGCATGGTGCGCCGCGCCGCACAGCGCTCCTGCAGGGACGCAGACACCCAGGGCCAGGTCTCCCAAGTCTCAGGCCAGGTCTGCCTGGTGGGGGAAGGTCGAATTAAGAACCGTAACTCCAGCCACCTTCATTACGTGGCGGGAGTCGACGTGCCTTCATCTGAGGTTCCCACCATCCCCCTGGCTGGAGGCCGACGGGTGCAAACGCTCACGCCGGCCTCTCACTCCTTGTAGGAGCAGGACTCGCAGGGTCCCAGGGCGGCAGAGACCTGGGGAGGCACCAGCCCACCACAACCACCCCACCCAGGGCTCGTTCAAGCCGGGACGTAACATCCTCTAGGGATGGAGATTCTGCTCCCTCCCTAGGGAACCCCTCCCAGCACTTCCCCACCCGCCTAGGGAAATCGTTTTTCCTCATATCCAATTTAGACCTCCCCCTGCAACTTGAGAACGTTGCTTCTCATTCTGCCCCCACTGAGAACAGCCTCTCTCCAGCCTCCTGGGAACCTCCCTTCAGAAGTTGCAGGCTGCTCTCAAATCCCCCCTCACTCTTCTCTTCTGCAGACTAAACAAACCCCAATCCCTCAGCCTCTCCTCGTAGGTCATGTGCTCCAGCCCCTCATCATAAGGCGCCCTCCAAGTTCGATTTAGTGGGTCTTTACTAGACCCACTACATCAAACTCCAGAAGCTCCGATGTTTTCCCCCTAGTGAAGACATGGTCGTAGGCTAAGCGCTGGTCACCCTTCCTTTACAAGGAATCCATAAAAAGGCCAAATATCAGCCTTGCCCAGCAAAGGGCTTGGGCATGACTTGGGGGGTGATGCCCTGGGCTGGATGTTCCTGCTGTCAGGCCTACTGAGCTAGACCCACTACATCAAACTCCAGAAGCTCCGATGTTTTCCCCCTAGTGAAGACATGGTCGTAGGCTAAGCGCTGGTCACCCTTCCTTTACAAGGAATCCATAAAAAGGCCAAATATCAGCCTTGCCCAGCAAAGGGCTTGGGCATGACTTGGGGGGTGATGCCCTGGGCTGGATGTTCCTGCTGTCAGGCCTACTGAGTGACTATATAGATGTGGGCCTGGCCCAGACTAGGAATATCCCCACTGCTGAGGCTGAGCGACTCATGGCCCTGCATGAACTCTGGGTACACTGCCTGGGAGGCTGTGTCCCTGCTGTGCCCCCCGCCGGCCCCAGCCAGATGGCTCCGTGGAGATGACGTGCTTCTTCCGAAGGAGCCTCACTTCTGAGCGCATGTTCCGTGGTCACAGGAGTTCTGTGGCCGCGGGGACTGGAGCGCTGACTCTGCTGCGGTGACTAATCCATCGGCTTGGTGCAGCCGGCTGGGGAACGCTCGCTTTCCTCGTCCCGCCCCGCTGCGCTGGGAGCCCGGCGTGGAGGGCGTGTCCTGCGTGTGGCACGTGGCCAGTGTATGTGCTACGCTGTGGCAGCCCTTACTGCCCTAGTGGGAGCAGCCACCCCACTGTGCAGGGCAATACACAAACTCATAGGCCGGGGCAGCCCTGCCCTGAAAAACTGTCAGTCAAAGAGCCCAGCAGCTGCCCCATGGCAGAATGCAGCCGCGCACGGTGCAAACAGGGCGACTGGGACAGACCCTTGTGGCTGGGTGGGTATTAAACCCCCGGCTCCTGGAATCATGTTATTTGAGAATCTCGGCTGCTGGTTAAAAAGAGGAATGTTTCTAGACCTCATGATTGTGGGGGAAAGGCTGGGACACGTGACGCGAAAACGGCCCCCCCCCCCCCATTTATTGTGGTTTAGAATCTCACGATCTTTAAGCCAGTCTCATGGGGACGGGGCTGATTCACAATTCTGAAGGGGAAGGGGGATGCTGATTTCCAAGCACTTTGGAGTTGGTGTTACTGACAAGGCCACATGTTTTCATATGGGACTGGGAAAAGATGGAGGGGCAAGTGAGCAGGAGCAAGGAGAAAACCCGCCAGCTGCTGTGCTCCCCTGTGTGTCTGCATCCAGCTGTCGGCTTGTCTTAGATTTGGACTTAAGTTCCCTGGGGCAGGCACTGTCGTCTTCTTCCTTTTGTGCCGTGCCTAGCGCGGTGAGGGGAAGCCTGGCAGGCAGGGATAAGGAGGCAGGGCATGGAGTTTGGGGCAGAATAGCAATCCACCAACAGACAGCCAGGGCCAGAGTGACAACCTGCCTCTGGGAGAGCACTGATCAGCGCCTTGCTCCTGCAGCCTCCCATCCCCCGGACCCCCCGACCCGCTCCCG